AGAGGATAGGAGGGTTAGAAGAGTATTGGGTGTTCCAAGTTGCAATTATTCCCCACTGTAATTTCAAGAAGCAATTCCAGTGACTTCTAATGGCACTTGGTTTTGACTCTTGATTACTTTCAGTAGACATGGACAGATAGCACACGTTTCAACTGGCTGATTAGTGTCCTAAATGTTTAAACACCCCTGAAAACAGTAATTGGGTCATTTTAAACAACCTGCAAATTTTCTCAGTCACATTTTCCACCAAAGCTGGCAAACTATTGAACAAATATGTCTGTGGCTTTACAAGTCGTCCGCGCACTACGGTACGTAATTCCAATTTGGTTTACATGGCGAAATTAAGTCCAAGTCTGGAGTGAAAACATCATCTTAAAAGAGGGGCAGATTATGGGTGCAGAGACTGAGGTTTTAGAAAATAATTTAGATTGTAATGGCGTAAGGTGTTGACATTGAGCTAACGCTGAATTCACGTAATGGCCACCTTTCATAGCCAGATCCTTTAATACACATTGAATGATGAAGTACCCCGGGGCAAAAACAGGGTGTTGCCTGCTGGATCCATGATGTATAATGAATGTCTGCTTTTCAATTTTACATGCACTGTCCTCAAAAAAGACACACAAGTCTTCCATTTAAAGGCTGCTGATCTTATGCTGCCTCCTCACTACAATATCTTATTTATTCAAAAGCAGAGACATTTGATTTGCACCGTTAGTGGTGTGTTTTCTGTAAAAGGGATCAGAGTTAAATTGGAAGTTTAAGGAGAAAACAAATGTTATGAGTACATGGAAATACAACTTTAACTACAACCGCCCCAGGCCAGACCAAACCCTCATACAAATGAACTCCAGGAGATGTGATATAAAACGATACAAGACTGAGCATGTAGGCTACAAAAAACATATACAGAGATTAGATGCAAGAACAGAGCAAGAACGTCTTCTCACAAATACACTGACGTAGTGCATTTAAATGAAATCGTCTTGGATGGAGGAGGTAGGGTGACGTTAAACTGAGGTTTCCTTCCCGGCATTGTATGAAAACAAAGCTCCAGATGTTGGGATATAGAGTGTAACATATCTAATATTAATCAGTATATGAATATATTGGAGATTTGGGCCTTTATTAAAGGGATACTCCGCTGATAACACAATTACAAAGTTTAGGAAATATCAGTGACCTATAAAAAACAAAACAATGGTCAGTTCATTTCAATTGAATCCGCAGATTCATTTACAAGGGCAACATAAAAACGCTCAAAGAAAACTTTTGTGCGTCTTCAACTTTGACACAAAAGTTTGCACTGTTGAACAATAGCAACCCATCTTGACAGTGCTGACCTTTGAGGGAACTGAGAGCCGGAGAGTCCAAAAAGGACAACGCTATTGTTGCTTATTAGCTGTGTTTCATCATCGGATTTTATGTAACCCTCTCCTGCCAGAGTACGGTCATAAACTGCTCCATGAAAGTTGAATGGGCAATGAGGCAGGAGTCGATGGTGCAAATACGTCTCTTGAATAGACTGTGTCCTGTTAGAAACCGACCTAAAAAGTTATAAGTGTGAATTATTTTTAAGCTCCTGTATCGCTTGAGCATATACATTGCCAATATCTGCACACTGTCTCGGCTGTCTGCAACTCCAGACTTAAAATATTGGTGTTTGGTGCCAGTCTTCGAAAACCATTATTGGTCAAACCCAAGTGACCAGCAGAACGACAAAGATCAGAGGACACAGAAAGCAGATGCCGGTGAAATTCGTGAAACTCCAGCTTGAGATGAAACAGGGCGGCGCACTGGGGAACGCCTGCAGAGCTCCTGCCACCGACCCCTGTGAAGCAGCACATCATGATTAATGATGTCGTGCTTCCTACCTGTTGGATCGTTTTGTACGCCCACAATGGTCAACAGGCAGGAGTCTCAAACGTAGATTTAGTGAGCCAAAGCAGAGGCTGTGGAGAAGGTGGAATAACACAAAAGAGAAGCCAGTGAGTCCATATGTTCCCATCCCTAGAGACGGCCGTTCTCACCTACAGGTTTAGACAACAGTGACAAGGTCACGGGAGGTAACAGGGGTTCACTTCAGGCCAGACGGAAAACATACATATTGTGTATAACCTGAGCAAATAAACCCTCCCCGACCTTAATTAAAGTGATTGCATGACTGGGTCATTCATAGCATGTTTGCACAAGCCGTTAGTAAAAGTGAACTTCCCCCGTTAAATGAAAATAAGCACAAATAAACGATAATTACACAGATCCCTAACCCTTCATATGGCTCTTGCTGCTTAGTCACGTCCTTCGAATCACTACCTTGGATAAACCCCAAGGGAACACACAGCTGAGGACCTCAGACGCTGTGACTCATGAACCCATAATGTGACAGCTTTTATAATGGAAGCCAATGAGAGGGTGGAGTAACCAGCAGTGGCATGGCTATATACAGTAAGAATCTTCTTTTTTTTCTCTTCATTCTAAATGTTACTAAAAACAGCTTGGATTGTGTTCGGTTTGAATCTGATGGAATAATTATTGTTGCAGCAGAAAGCACTGATGTTGACTTCAGCTTCAGGCAGCTCCAAGGAGAAGATGTTCTGCAAAAAAAGAAGATGGGCATCTGTATTCAGGAATACAAAGAATGTTACTTCTAAGGTGTTCGAAAAACGAATGGGGTAAGAATAAATCTAAAACATTTGACATGGTGCCATTTAGGTGGTGTGATGTTGCAGTGAAGGGAAGATACATTCTTTACAAGCATCCAAAAACAGGTGTAGAGTATCCTGCAGCAGACGGTTGGTAATAGGTTTAACTATATCCAGGAGCTGTAAAAAAGAAATATAGTCCAAGCGACTTTCTTTCCTTTGAAGGCAAAGTCACAAATTCTGCAAATGTGGCAAGAAGATTTGAATTGACTTCCATGGCGTTTGACTTATTTGTCAAATTTCTTAGACAAAAGATTGAATAGTTGGACGCTAAGGCTGGATTACCAAGCGGGACCCCGAGCGGCCCCAAAAGCTAAATTCACTGCACATCAATAGGTTTTCGTATTGAATTTATTTTGCAAATTCTGCACCATAAAACACTAAGGCGGGTTCTGCAGGATTGCAAAGTAACGCAAATTAAGTCAACCAGATGCACTGGACTTAATTGGAACTTTGGGTGACAATTTCACAAATGCACATGTATCTGTAATGGATTGTAACTGATCTATGAAACATACGTTCATGTTTTATGAACTGTTAATAAAGCCGTTAGTTCGCTTACTAATTACTTTAACTAAAAGGTTCCTTATTAGATATAGTGCTTCCAAGACAGGCAACAGAAAATACCCTAGTAATCCCTGGAGCCAGCATTAGCTCTGTGAGGAGGAGATGTGTTATCCCATGTCAGCTGAAATACATTTGTTTCAAGAAAAGTAACATTATCACACTCCACCGTGGAGTCGGTGATTTCGACAGCCCCCTTTTTTTCTTTTTTTTTTTGCAGCGTGATGCCTCCCTCCCTCCCTTTCCCTCCGCTGGCCCCCGGCCCCGGAACCGGCGTAGACCATCAACAGTATGTTCGCAGGCTCGGGCCGCGTGCTAGGAAACATGAGCAGGGTGAGATATTCAGAGTCCCGGGCAGCGCGTTGCGGGCCGCTGGATAAAGCGGAGGAGGAGACGGCGGTCCGTGTGGTTTGAGCTCAGGATCTCAGGACGGGAGCATGTGAGCAGGGAATGGGAGACTGGAAACGGGATTATTGTTCTACACGGCAGAGAGACGCAGGAGGGGCCCGGGACAGGTAACTGACCGAGATACACTGATGGATGTTTTTTTTTTTTTTTTTAGGAATGGACCGATAGGCTTAGCTTTCAAATGGTACTCAGGTTATTAAGGTTTAGAATGAGGGATGTAGAAAAGGATAAAACAGTTTATCTAACTTTGAATGGACAGTGCTGAGTTTAAATTGCTCTTTATTCTGATATAAATCTCCACGACTTTAAGTCGTAATATAATATACAATATTAATTCTTAACCCACTGCCGGCATGATGTTTTTGTGTATTTCATCACTACATGGTTCTCTGTGCTACATATTTGGCAACGGGGTGCTGATGGCACCGCATCACGGCGCGTCTCTTTCCCCGTGACAAATTCAATATTCAACCCCCCCGCCCCCAGAGCATTTCCAAATTGAAAGTGAAGAGAAAAACAAAATGTCACACTTGTGGAACTTGCGGGGTTTGTTTGTTTAGCATTGAATAAAGGAGAGCACCAACCAAAATAAACCATCCGGGGTTTTTGTAGAGACTTGCTACCGCAGCGCAGAAGAGACAGGGCAGAAATATTCAGGATGCTTGAACTGGAATTCTGAAACGAATAAAAACATTTTTTACAACCTAAACCACCGAGCCTGTAGCCTAGATTTACGGCAGTAAATTATACGTTTACCCTAGTTGTTAGTTGAAACTGCATGTATGAAACAGAATTGAGGAAAATTCTGTCACATCTTGTATGAAAAATCAAGTTTGAAGCTGAGCAAGAGAATAGTTAGTCTTGTGATAATGGTTTTATTGTCATTGCGCTCGATTAAAATGAAATGTATTCACCAATAACAGTTATAATGGACCTGCTGTCTGCACTGACTGTCATTTGACATTTTATTCGTTTGTTTGCTGCTTTACAAAATCCGATAACTAACGGATGCTTGGTCTTCGCGTAAATCCCTTGATATGAATTGGAATTGCAGATGCGTATGTTTACAAAGAGCGACCTTATAATGACGCATCACAACAGCGCAGTTACGCACGGTCCACCTCAGCTCAAGACAGTCTGCAGGCTGGTTCATTCAGTGCATTTGCAGGCGGCACGCAGTGAAGGGAAACAGAATCACACATACCAGAGTGAAGGTGTCAAATTATGTTTTATATGTATGATTTATTTATTTTAAGACTGCTTTTGTAAAATCTCCACACTTGTTCCACAGGAGAGACACTGGGACGCCGTGACAAATCAGAGGAAAAACTTTTTTTTTTTTTTTAAACCTTTTTTCAACATTTTCTAATCGGGAGGAATATCCGGCCAAAGATGAACACCATCGTGTTTAACAAACTGAGCAGCCAGGTCCTGTTTGAGGAGAAGGCGAAAGAGGTGGAGATGAGCAGCAGAAATTATCTAGAAGTCATCGACGGGCAACATCCAGACCTCCTCTCCAGCAACCAGACTATCAGAGACAACCAGGCCATCAGACACAGGCGGAGCGGGTATGTGGAGCGTTCTGTTGCGTTTAACGCATGTGTGGCTGTCCCGGGTTTACCGATGAGGAATACCTCTGTTTCACGGTTTCTCCACTCAGCACGAGTTAGCACACCGAGAGAGTGCATGACAATGAGAGGTTTTGTTATCAGAGCTCGTTATCGCTCCACCGTGTGCGCAAAATTAAAACAGGATAAGAAATGTCAAGATCAGACTTGTAGGGTGAATTTACTGTAGAATTACATTGGAGATGTGCATGAGCCTCTTTAAGTTATAATACATAATTATTAGTTATATTTTGGATTGATAAAATAGTTTCTGCAGATGTGCGTGAATTGCGCATTTACGCACGCAAATCTGAGATTTACGCACGGATAAAATACCCACAAGGAAGGTCTTTTATCGGTCTAAACTTGGACTACTTATGCTTCACATCTCAACGCTGAAACGCAAATTTAGTTTTCCAGTCTGACTGTTTTTGCACGTGGCTTTAACGCAACAGGATCTGATGGATCTATGGAATTAATATTCACCGTTTCTAAATCTGGTCCTCATTTAGGTGTTGATGTTCACAGCTAATCTTAAAATGAATAAGTAGGTCAGCCGTGTTCGGTAGCGTATCTTATAGAAGTCTCCATCTGTTTCCAATGAATAAATTCGCTCTCTGTGTGGCCTAGTCAATCACACAAGGGCTGAGTGTGTTTTTTAAATATATATATTTTACTTTTGTTTCCTCTTTATGTGGCTGAGAGCAGTTGTAAGAAATCACAGTCATTCTATTATTTGTTATGTATTGTTTGCATGTTTATTGGATACCAGGGAGAGAGATAGCTGTGACCTCCAGAGGCCTCCTAAAGGAGTGACATTCAACAACAAAGAATATTATGAGTCGGTGGACTTAGTTGTCGCCTCAAGGGAAGCATCAGCGCTAATGAAGAACATTAAACGATTAAAGCGAGGTGTGTGCGTGTGTTTAAACCAAAGTTCAGGGCACGATGTAAAATGTCCTTTCGGATGTTCATACCGATCTAGATTACAAGCAAAATATTTGTAGAACATGAACCTCAGGCAGACTTGAGGTTAGACTGAAATATGTTACATCTGCAGTCAGTGGAGCTTTTTGGTGAGATAAAGGGAGAAGCGGTGCGCGGCACCATACTGACATCTACAGGTTCATAAAACCTGGAGCTAAGGTGAGACCCAATCCTTCCCAGAATCGGGTAAAAAACATCAGCCTGGTGCAGACGTACTTGAATGATTAATGTTAATATTCCTTGAGGAACTCACAGGGTGTCTTGTGTTCCTCAATAAGACATTTATAGTGAGTTCATGATATTTTGTGTTGTTTTTATCTTGTGTAATATATCTGCAGTAGCCTACTTCTACAATAGCTGTGAGTGGCACTGAGTTTCTCATTTGGGATTTTGGAATTTATATATTTTTAATCTCCCTTTTTCCTGCTGTAATGTTTTTTTTAATTGTATCCCCTGGACATGTGTCATAGCACTTTTCTGTAAAGGAAAACCAGAAGTATATCGTTTTTTTTATCAGTCCCTTGTGTGATGGCTTTGCTCTGACTGTGACCCGGCTACATTGTTCTTGATCCGCTTCTCCCGGGTGTGAAATGTTAATCTGGCAAAAATGTGCGCCTGAGCAAAGTGTTTTTTGTTTGTTCCATTGCAACGCGCCGGTGGTTTCTGGGACACGCAATGAAAATTAAACAGCAAGTTGCCGTGTTTCTCTCCCGCTATGTCTCTCTTTCTCTCTCTCTCTCTCTTTTATTCCAACGTCTCTTAGCTTAATTGCAGTGTTATGGGTGAGAAAATTGCAAGCTCTATTGAGTGTTCACTTTATGTGTCATGACTAACCATTCAGACAACATGCCGGTCCACTCAGGGCTCCACTTGCAGCTGCACAACTTAGTGCAGCTGCAAGTATAATAAACAACATAATCCTCTTTCTCTTCCATGGCTTTAAAACCAGATCTTATTTTAATTTGTGAAGATGAGAAATTGAAATTGAGACAGTTTACCAACATTTTATCCTGATATAATGAATATCATGATGTTACTGATGAATGCAGGGTGGGTACATTTCAAACAACTGAAAAGAAAGACTAAATCCTGCATTTATCGGTAGATTATACATTTTTATTTGTAATTTGTAAAAAAGAATAAATGTGCTGGACGGAAAAGAACAAACCGTCCAGGTTTAGATGAAAAAAATACCCCGAGAATGTGTCCCATAATTCATATCCACATGGACTATAGGTTTAAAGTATACATTTATATAACAGCTTTACTTCACTGTGGAACCTGGCTGACATTATTCTACCCGTTCCTCCACAGGGGTCGTCCCAGCGGTGGTAAAGTGCGACACAAGCGTCAGGCCCTGCAGGACATGGCGCGGCCGCTCAAGCAGTGGCTCTACAAGCACAGAGACAACCCGTACCCCACCAAGACCGAGAAAATCCTGCTGGCCCTCGGCTCGCAAATGACCCTGGTCCAGGTCAGTCTGCTTTCTGGTCTTTATCACTTCAGGTGACGAGGAAAGAGAAAAAGTGAGGTGTCTCTCAGTGTTCACGCAGGCATGAGTATGATCAGTGAGGGGAAAAGTGAAATTTGATTTCTGTGGTTGAGTTTCTGTGTAAAAAAGTGGATTTTGACTTACATTCGCAATTAGGAGGCTGTGAGTAGAAAGTGTTTTTACATCTTGAGCTGTTTATGTTTCAGCTCTCGAGCAGTGGCGGTCAATGTTATTTCTACTCACTTTCAAATTGGCAATTCCGTTCGTCCTTTTTTTGTTTCACTCAAATGTGACAAAATGACTGTAAATCAAATTTGGCGTTTCGTACAGTAAGTCAGCGGTTCTCCACCTCTTTGGCTTATGAGCCCTCTACTTCGCTGCTTGCAAAAAGTGATTTTATTTTCTTATGTTGTACATTTTAGAGGCAGAAACAGGTAAAGCTATTCAGAATTTCATAAGAAAATCTAGAAAAATAAACTTAATTTGTGTAGCGGAGATGTATTTTTCTTTTTAATTCTTTAGTTTGTCTCTAAATCCTCATATTTATCCACAGGCCTCCTGTTGGCCTCCGATCCACAGGTTGGGAAACACTAGTGTAGGTGTAGTTATAAATACAGGTTATGTATATGCTATTGCACCCTCTACTGATAATGCAAGAGTACAGTGGGCAACGTGACTTCAGCGACTAACAAAACTGACCACTGAGAGGAGAACACAGCGGTGGATATGAGTGTTTTTTGTGTCTGGCGCTCCCAGCTGTGTATGTACAGTATCATCTGGCTGACAAGGTCACTGATACGGCCCTCAGAAACTCTGCAGCGGCTTTTTCGGGCCGCCGGCCACGATGCTTAATCTGGTTCTCATTTTGGGAGCCTGATGGAGCTGTTTGTTTTGGTGAGGGCGAGCAGAGTGCAGAGGAATGCTTTGTATTGAACACCGGGATGCTGTGCTGCGAACGCACGCACACACACACACACACACACACACACACACACACACACACACACACACACACACGCGCATACGTATAAGCTGACACCCAAATACCAGCAGCAGTGTCAAAGGTCAGTGGATGAGGGTGATGACAGACAGGTAAATAATTCTCACCACATTTTCCAGCATGAGGGAGGTTGTTCTTCTTCTGTTTGGAACATTTGGAAGTTTCTTTTGCTTTTTACGTTATATTTATTCTTCCTTTGATTTTCTGACGATTCACTTTGTTTTGCTGCGACATTTGTCGACTTATTGCAAAGTTGCTCGACAGATAATTGACTGCCAAAAGTTGTCCTAATCGATTGATATCTAAGTTATTTATCCTGGAATATGTTTTAACATTCTGTTTCTCAAATATGCTAATATGCAAATGAAAATTACATAAATTATGGAATATCTTTTGGTTTCGGACAAAACAAGCAATTTAAAGACATCACCTTGACTTCTGCAAACATGTGCTGGGTGTTTTTCCACTATTTTCTGACATTTTATAGTCTCTTAATGGATTTTTCCAAAATAATTGTTAGTTGCAGCCCAAATGTGGTGTTCTTTTCTTTGCCTGCGGAGCCTAAGAACTACCCAGTTGTTCCACTGGTTTGTCCAAACAACCACTGCCGCCAGTAATGTAGAAACGCATTTTTCCCTGGAAACACCCACCTGGCACCAGGTGTTCAAAGCGACTAAATCTGTCATGTTTGAGCAAAACAGCCCATTTTTTTCCCCATCTTAACGTCGTAAATTGTCTGTTGTGCTAATGCACCGGTGCCATCTCTCCATCACCGTCGAAATCCCTCGGCGTGGTGGCAGGCCGTCTCCCTCTACGGTACACACAGTACAGATGCCGACACGGGTGAAAGAGCTGGTTTGGCTGCCACGTCCTCCCCCCCCCTTTTTTTTTTTTTTTTTAAATCTCTCTGGGTGTCATCTGAGCAGGCGTGCCATCCTTTCTCTTCTCCTCTCACCCCGTTGAAAGCCATCCTTCCTCCAGTTCCTCATTAGCGAGGCCGTCCCCCCCTGCCTCGCCTCGCCTCGCCTCACCTCGCCCTCCCCCTCCAGCCGAGCCACATGTACTAGATGCCGCCTTCCCCCTGGAGTGCCACGGCGCTGGGCTCGAGACAAAAGGGATGTGGGATGGTCTTAGTTAACGAGAAACACGATACTGGAAGAGGGGATCAGAAAAATAAGTACTCTAGCATAAGGCCCCTGTCTCAGCCCCTTCATAAGCTGCTTGAAGTCTATTGAGCATGAAAAGTTATTCTAGTATAACATCTAATAGTCTCCCTTCCCAGTGAAAGGAGGAGCGCCGGCTCGAGTGTCTCTTTTATTGCATCTTGAAGACAGTGTTGGAAAAAAAGCCCTATTAATGGAGGGAGGCTGTGCGAGTCCAGAATAAGCACGGGGGGGAGACGTCCATGTCGGTCGGAACATTAGTTAATGAAACGTTGCGTTCGCTGGCCGCTTGACGCTCGCGGGGTGTTAAATGTTTCTACATGGCGTTGATACAGAGAAGATGCATGCTGGATTGTCTCTCCGGAGCGTCTGGGATGTTTCTTAAAGCTGCTCCAGAGAGCCGCTCTGCAACCCGACTCTGCTTCTGTCTTTCGCCTCGGCCTCTCTCGCTGAGAGAGGCTGATGGCAGGCAGAGAGCAGACGTTTTCTTTGGACGTGGAGGTGTGTGGAGTCCAAACAATAACACATGTTTCTATTTGCTTCTTTTTTCCTCTTTCTCTCAGGTATCCAACTGGTTTGCCAATGCCAGGAGGCGACTGAAGAACACAGTGAGGCAGCCGGACCTGAGCTGGGCGCTCAGGATCAAGCTCTACAACAAGTATGTCCAGGGCAATGCAGAGAGGCTGAGCGTCAGCAGCGAGGACAGCTGCTCAGACGGTACGGCTTGACTGCACTTCCAAGTTCCATTCCAAGTTAAAAGGGGAGAATTTACAAACCGGCCATATTACGGCTTGACTGCTAAAGTGGTTCACCGTGTAACAGGGGGCTGGTGGTCATCTGACTAAAAGCACTTGTTTTGGAGATATAGGAGTCAAGGAGGGTGATGAATTAAACATGCTCTTGATCCAGTGTTTATGCTAAAAATGAGGCCAGCTTAGACTGAGCTTAATTGCTGCAGTAGCCCTTTAAAATTGTTACAGCAGAGGCAACACATGCAAGCTGCCTCTCTCTCCCCTCAAATGTGTTTCATTCTCTCGAAGAAGTTGTTTTGCCTGATAGTCGGATAATCCAACAATGCATATAATAATAAAAACATGATCAATTTCCTTATTTATTTAGAACAAAAGCAGTAAGTTAGTTAGTGTTGGCCTTTGACCTCTTCAGTTACGGTTGCCTGTAATGCAGACTCTGGGGTAATTCTTCGGTTTCCTTCTATTGCTCCAGATGAAAGCAAAAGCTACATTAATATCCCTCATTCTACATCGGAATCTGAACCATTCCATTTGTTTGATTGGAAGGATTTAACGTATGTGCACGTTTTATGAGCATATTGGAAAACAATTTCATATACTGTACGTAACTGCTCCATCACTCAGTCTGATTGGTGTTCACTTCAGACTTCAGTTATAAGTCGGTCTGGCGTGAGGCTGATGCTCTTTGTATGAGTGACCGGGTTAATCTCCTTACGTCATACTCCCTGTGCCCCCGGAACTCACGTCTAGCATTATGATGTGAAATGCAGCCAAAGGCCGGGCCCTCTCCCTCTGTGCGCGTCCTAAAGCGGGCTGATGCCACGCGGGGCCATGTTCTGGGTGTGTATGAAAATGGCGAGTGTGTGATCCAGCCGGGGGACTCCGGGAGACGCCGAGGCCGGCGGGCCGCGACACGCTGTCATTAGGACACCCCGCTGAGCCAACCTCTGTCTCCCAGCCTACAATTGAAAATGAGTAGCTCTCTGTCAGCCGTGTATTTACAGCAACTGGCTTTTTCTACTCGCTGACAGCACTGCAAACATGGTCAGCGAACAAAAAAAAAGAAGAAGAAATAAAACATACATACTCACGCAGTGAGAGAATGAACAGAAAGGAAGAGCGCTGTGGTGTCAGCGATCTCTAATTACATTTTTTGGCTGAGCGTGCGGCTGAAAGAGGAATGTGTGCATGGTGTTTGCATTGTGTCCGCCACAGGCCACTGTACCACCGGAGGCTCTGTATATCTCCCTGACTCTTCTCCCTTTCACATTATGGTTATGAAGCTGTTCCCACTTCTGACCCAAGTGCTAAAAAGCCCTCCATTATGTATTTAAGCCTATGCTTTTGTTCCAGGAGGCTATTTATGGGGCCCAGACCTGACCCCACTGACTCGGCATGCATTTCTCTTCCTGTCCTGAAATGGTGCAGCTTGTTTTGGAGTTACAGTAGCGAGCCCAAGTGAGAAAATGCTGTTTTCTGCATGTGATCTGGAGCGGACACGCCGTCATGTAGGTGTTGACAGGGAAGTTTATTACCTTTTTATATATATTTATTATATATAAAAAGATGGCAGACCTAGAGGTAAAAGGACACTGTTATGGGATTATAATGATTGGGTTTATTATCGCTCGTGTGGTTTCGTAGGAGATGCTGAAGAAATCGCTGAATTCTACCTCAGACAGCGCTGGGGAAGGAGAGCGAGTTTCGCAGCCTCCATGTGTTTCTGATATGTGGGGGCTCTAATTTTAATTTGGCCCAGACTGAATCAACGGTCCAACCTGCCCAAATTACAAAATCACAGTCTTGGCAGGGACAGTATCTCGAGTGAACTCCCCCCCCCGCCAGAGGATATCTGGTTTTTCAGTACGGTGTTTTATCCCCACCCCCCCGTTTTCTTTCATCAGGTAGGGACCTTTGCTTTAATTCAATCTCTCCGGCTGCCGAGCGCCCTGGAAATTATTTATTTCTGCAGGGGAATAGAGGGGCAATGTGGTCTTGATGGAGAGGAAATAGGCTACCATCCGTTATGGTTTGGTAATGCGTCCTAAGTCTCGGCTGGGCTTTCTGCTCTTGAGGCGATGCCAGCAGGAGGGCAGGAGCGCCAGGTTGAAATCTCCCTGCCCTGGTCTTTAGATTCAAGATTAGCTCAAAAATAACCAGACTGTGAGTCAGTGGGGAGGAACATGCAGAATGTAGTTGGATTTAAACTGGAGAAGCATTTGCTGAAGAATATGCGTGTGATTGCTATCTGCACATGATGATGATTGGTAGGATTTTTTTGGATGATGCTATAGTCTTTTGAAAACTGATTAACCTTTATTGGCTGTGTGTACTCAAAAGCATTTTAAAAGATATATAGAGAGTATATATATATATATATATATATATATACATTAAATACATTGGATGTTCATCTGCAAAGAATTCTACGTGCATTTACAATAAGTTACAAATCAAATGTGTTTTAAAGATCCTGTATTCCAGGAATAGCTCGTTAAATATGCAAATGTATGCACATTTTATTTTTCGGAAACTAGATACAGTTATGTACATATTGATATAACAATATACAGTATATCTTGTAGGTAGGTATATGTGCATTTTCCAGTTGAGAAAACAGAAAGAGAAACATGCAAGACAAATACCAAGGAAGATGTAATATGCTTTGGAAAATTACATTACATTGCATCTAAATGTTGTTTTTTCTTCTAATTTCTCCCCCTTGATGGCGTAGACGGGGACAACCCTCAGAGAACACAGAGCGGCCCCGAGGAGCTCAACAAGCCCATGTACCAGAGCGTGATCAAGAAGGAGGGCTCCTCCATGGTGGGCATGGGCATGGGCATGGGCATGGCCATGGGTATGGGCATGAGCATGGGCATGGGCATGAGCATGGGCATGGGCATGGGCATGGGACCGGGGCTGCGCTCGGCCGCCTCGCTGGCCGAGGACTACGTGTCTCCGCCCAAGTACAAGAGCAGCCTGCTGCACCGCTACCTGAACGACTCGCTGCGCCACGTCATGGTGGCCAACGCCGTCCTGGACGCCCGCAAGAGGAACCACTCCGGCTCCTTCAGCTCCAACGAGTACGACGACGAGCTGCTCTCGCCGTCCTCCTCCGAGGCTGAGGCGAACTTTGTTTATCGGGCTGGTAAGGAGCCACATTTCTGACATTCTTTCCCTTCAAGAGTCTCCCTCGCACGCACGCACACACACACACACACACGCACACGCACACGTGACATCCTTCACTTTTGTTCTTTTTCTGTCCCCCTACCATCTGCACATTTTGTTTTAATTCTTGCAGCTGGTCCATTATTTCCAACTGTCTGCCTCTCTCTATATTACACTGTTGTCTTCCAGCTCCCTACATTTGATATGGTGTTGCCAAATGTGATTCTTATGACTCCTGAAATGGAGATGCAGTAAAGAAAAAAAACTGTTCCATTAGATTTAAAGCACAAACACACATTCACATACCTACAGCAGAGCAGCTCATGCACCACCACTTCAACACTCTCACTCAAGAACCCTGGCTGTCTCTCACCCACTCCAGCCGAGCTGAGAAGGAATTCCCCCCAGACGGCTCCTCTGACCAGGCTTTAAGCAGGCCAGACACAACAAGGCCATGTGGAACACGCTCACTTTCAGACTACTGTTTGGCATGCCTTTGATCCTGCAATGGGGTCCCGTGGAGAGAGCATGGGGGCAAGGCAAGCGAGCGGTGTGTTTGTGTATCGGCGGGCTGCGCGTGTGTGATCCGTAACAGAAAAAAAGGCATACGTTTCTTTTTTTAGACGAAGTGACCTTTAAAAGAAAGTACTAACAAAAAAACAAAAAAAAAAACTAGGCCGTGCAAAACAAAGTGGAATCTCAATCTTGCTCTCATCAGAAAAAGTTGTTTTCTGTCATTTCTGCACAATGGAAAACACATTCCAGAGTGAGATAAAGAGATGGAGTGTTTCTTTGCTTTCGGCTGAACAGCTTTGTTGTCTCTTGTTGCCGTTTCTGTTTCTAGGTTTGAAGTATTCCATTTAAAAAATGTCGCCTTACTGACTTTATTACTAGCGCCTGTTTTTATTAAGGGTATCTTTGTTGTGCTGAACTCAACCTTGTGAACCTTTCAAAAATCAATGACAATGAAAAACAATGGCACAACTTGAAAAGACGTACAGGACATGTAGAGCGGATGTTGAATTCTGTATAGAACCAACTAATAGTTTATCATTCATTTATTGTAAATATTTTACAGCAATTTATCTTAAATTGTCAGACAATTTCAGATCTAATGAGTTAAAGTCTTGTGACTTGTAATGATGAGTACAATTACTGCAGAGTGTTCACTCAAAAGAAGCATCATTACTATATTGGTGGACTTCCCAGCATGCATTTTTCAAGGGTTAAAACCCTCAAGAGATGAAAAACAAGACGTGATTACTCTGCCTTAGGCAGCAGGGAAACGTCCGCTGATCTAACTGTGAATGTACCTCGTGAATCACAGAACTCGGCTCGTTATGAAGACTTTCACAACGCCTCGGCTCGCAATTCGTCTAAGTAAGCTGCGAACGATCAAGGTCAGATCTGTCCAAGTTCCTCTTCAGCTGAGAACACTGGGTCTTTGTTCAGGCGCACTTCACAACCAATAGTGATGTTTTCCCTTTCTGATGAGTGTGAGCAGCACAGGGAGGGGGGGGGGGGGGGGGGGGGGGGGGGT